TGCCAAATGGGTCATTCAGTCTTCTCATGCAGACCAATTGCACAGTGAACATTGGCGGTACGTTGACTTATGGTAGGTTGTGATATCGTTTTTCTTTGTATTTTTCATTTCCATGGCAATGCTTGGCGTCTCAAAGCTTATCTCTTTATCCACATTTATATGCTTCATGTGTTTGAGGGCCTAGTACTGCGTGCAAATGTCACCAGTTACCGTCATAGGACAGTCATTGGATGACGCGTTTATTGGTGCACACTCGTTTCGGCTTCCTCGTGTCAGGCTTCTCTGCTGTTCAGACTTAATCGCATGTTAGGATCGCATTTCAGGTAAATGTCTGCATGCTACTGCTTCATTCAAAGTTCCTCTTGAGGAAACATTACCTATTTGGTGATCGACTTAGGTGGCTTGAACAATCTGGGGTGTCAATTTCGTGGAATATTGAAGATCAGTTCAGTAAAGTCCATTCAGATTTTTGTACACACCTGTCTAACACCAGGCTATATTGACCATATTATTGTGCTGATAACATATTTCTTCCCGCAAAGCTCAAACTAAGTGATCGAATGGTCTATTTCAGACAACTTTTAAGTTACGTTCCCATTAGTAGTATTGCTTTTCAAGGTTACTGGAAACAATGTATACAGGTATCGATCAAACTCGTACAACATCCTGACTTTCATCACATTTGCTCCCCGCAACACTTAGTTTTTTGAGCCTCATTCACGAATTTGTATAGGATATTGTATAGGATATCTCACCTTATCAGACGCAACATATCTGTAATAGTATACACTCATGTTCCTGCTTCAATAACTCGAATTCAATGAAAAAAGCGTTTTCTTGATTTCGACGACAGTGACTAGTGCATTAATACAGAAATAACGAAGCCTCAATCGAAAAATGTTATAATTTAATTGTCAAAACGATTCGTAGGAATGATACAAGTTTTGTGCTTTCATATTATAAATATTCTTCATTTGTGAGCACTAGAGTTAGTCACTTTTATATGGATTCCACCAAATTGACTTCTCAACAGCCGTTTCCAGTTTCCTGTGATACATGCCGCACCTTGATTACTGAAAACCACTATCAAGGCAGAGAAAAGTATTGCTGTTCCTAACACAGGAAACATTTTTCGATTGGATTCAAATCCCAGCAGCATAGCGGTCGTTGAACGAATTCAACATTAGTCATGACCCCTCTAGAAACTGAGGTCGAATTCAACCATCGTCTTGCTTCGATATGATCGGTTTTCACCCTCTTAGTTCAGGCCTTGATGGAGACTTTTATTATGTTCACAAATGAAGCACTTGCACAAGCCACTACCTGCGTCATCGGATTTGTGTCTCTCGAATAAGTTTTGTCTTGGCTTCAATTATATGCCGAAATCTTTCAAATGTTTTATCCGGTTTGGGCATGATGACATAACTCAAAGCTTATTTAACGAGGCGCACACCTTCAGGTCAACGTTCGACGATCAGCTATAATGTTTCGGAATATATTTTTACTTCTTTCAGGATTAGGGATATTAGGCGAGTAGTTTGTAGCCAAAGAATTCATCAGTTTAGTTAGGTTAGAAAGTTTTCAACGATCAAATTATTTACTGCGCACTGAATGGAAAGAGTAAGTTGTTTTGGATACGTGTGTTGAATCCAGTAAACACTCATGACACAGGAAGAATAAATGTCCCTGCTGCTTTGCACAAAATAATCTCAAAATCCACGCTACAACTTTAGAACTAATACAAAACATATCAATCAAAGTGACGCAAATTCAGACAGCGGTAGGAGATAACTAAGAAGGTACAATTGGGAGATAAATATTGGAATAAATACGCTTCAATCATAGCAATCAACATGGAAGTATGATATTGGAAACTGGTATGTGTTTCAGAGATGAGAGTCATGTTGCACAAGTTTTATCAATACCGGTACGCCTATCGAGTTATTCATATCTCCAACTGTGTTGAGCATTCCACTTACTTCATTCCCCGTATCCGGATAAACTGTATACTGCTTGCAAATGTGTATTTCGAGATTCCATCTTTTTCACTATCGTTGGGTGTGATTCATTCACCTATGTTCCACGAATATCAATCTTCGACTGACAGTAGATATAATATCTGACTACTACTATTTAGTTAGTAGATACAATATGATAATGAAAATGAAAAGAAAAACATGTGGTGCGAGGTGTATAGTCAAGGCAATTTGAAATTTTGACCACATTTTATTAGTAAATTCAGTGAACATGCATAACTGAGAGGGGAGTTTTCACAGTAAATAGCCGACGGTATCTCCATGTTATAAGGCTCTCCTATACCAAACACTTCTTGGCACAGTGAGTTGGTTTACCGGGTATCACGAGCACCCGTTCGCCTAATGAAAAAGTTTCAAATCTTGATTACGAAAGCAACATTCCGAGAGTAAAGAATCAACTATCCATTATCAGCCGTTGGAGGAAATAATCTTGCTTTTATCCGTTTTATGCGGAAGTATAATAAGCAAATTACTCCATGAAAGTATTGAAGGATTTGAAGCGATTTCATAGTGTGCATAGTCAACGAAGCGTGAACTGATGTTTCAAATTAATTGAGCTTCGGCAGGAATGAGAATTCCTCAAAAGAATCGAGAATAGAACCCGGAACCTTGTAGGAAGTTTGGGTCGTGTTGGCCCGCAGCCATAAACTCCAGTTTCCAACATTCCAACCTAACTGCTTTTATTATATGGTATGTATACGAAATTAAAATCAGTCTGATTATCTGCCCGACTGGTTCGCATTGATTTTGAGACAAACAGATCGAAACTGCAGTCCAGATTTTCCTAACTCTCCATTTCACGTTCCATTTACTTTTTACACGATAAATTATCCCAGAAAAAAGCATAAGCACTAGAATATCTCATTCTGTAACACATTTCAATGGGGTAAGTGATCAAAATCCCCATAAAAAAGAATGCCATTAAGTAGTAACTTACATAATGGTGATCCTACATTGTTTACTAAAATGGCCTGCAACTGGAGTATAATTTTATCTAAGAAATGGGAACTCACATTTATCAAATTGTTACAATGAGACCATATATCGTTGATGTCGTTTTGGAAGAGCATTCAGCTCAGTATGAGGTTTACGATACACATAATATTTACTGGAGTTAACGACGTACCTTCCATCAATTTTAACAGAATTCACTGGAATATTTATCACAGTGTTCGAATAGTTTGCTGAAAACGCGTATTCAAATTCTGAGCAGATTCTAACTATCAACAGGTCTGTCTGAGTTCTTTTAACGGCAGATTCGCAATATCCCTGGTCACATTGTCCAGAAAAGTTTCTGCGGACACAAGGATTCAACAATAACTAAAATTATTAACTGCAAAATACATGTGTTCAGTTTTTCCTCTGTGAGAATACCCCATCTCATTTGTTGGCTCTCAGGGCTGTTCGTGGAAGAATGAAACTACCATAATACGGGACTTGGTTCGAAACGTGATTGGCTTCCATGTGGCAGTTTACAGTGGCTTTCTGACAGAGTAAATGACGTGTGAGTCATGTCGCTCAGATGATGTTTTATTCAAATTGAATTATTTACATCTGTCGAGGTGATCCCACATATTATTTTGTGAATTGCATTTTGGCTGTGTGATGGCATTCCACAATCCAACTAATTAGCTTCTTACTGGAAAACTAGTGAACGTACCGACAATATCTGTGATAACTACACATGATACCCAATCCATCCCACCACAAGTGTGTGATTGTACTATATCACAACTGCTCAAACGACAAACGGAGATGTTGTGCCCGTTTGTTCATGTAAATCAATTATTATTATTAATATCGATATGATCATNGGGGGGGGGGGGTCAGACCATTCAATCGGATGTGCCACTGTATGGATGTATGTACAAGAAAACCGAGACGGATGTGAAACGCATCCGTTCGGAATGTGAGGTCCGCTTTATGATAAACTCAACATACACGACAGTTGGGTTAGGGATTACTCTGCAATGATTTGTCGATCAAGCTTGCCGAGGGTAAGAACAACAAAAGCGGACGGAGCGTGTTGGTGTTTGTCAAATAGGGACTTCAAGGAAGATAAAGAGCGACAGGTAGGAGGCAGAAGAGAATGAAAGGGAAAGAGAGAGCAAGGACCGGTAGTTCATCAGCTGAATAAAACACTTATTATGTGNATTATAAAAGTGAATGCACGGGTAAAAAGACGGAAAATGGGGTTTGAATGTGACTGATTGATTTTGGGGATAAACAGATGGGGAGGGGGTCAGTTGAAGTATCTTGCTCAGTTTAATTTCTCTTTTCTTGGTGTGAGGGTTCTCGGTTTGATCAAGTATTTTAACAGACTGATGTACAGTTTGCAGAAATTGGCATCAGTGTGACGAGGATTCGCGGGACTAATGATAGGAGGCCGAACGAAAACACTCACAGGGATGTAGATAATGATGATTATTAGGCATGTTGTGCGTTTGATGCTTCGTCGTTGTTGAAGAAAGAATGTGTTGTTGCTATGGTTTATCCCTTATGGAGACCTGGAAAATCATGTCACATTCGAATTAGTTTACGACCCACAAAACATGATCCGTACTTTGTTGTATGCTGTTATAAAACCACGAGATGGGCGAGCAAAAGAAGTTTACTGTATAGGGGAAATGACTGTGATCATATTTGTCAGGTGATTGGATGGTAAGCATGAGGAGCATATGAAGTACAAACGACACAAAGAGTTGATTGAGTTTATAAGATATGTATAGATATATTCATAAACCTTAATCAAATTTTTGGATCTTATTCAGTTAAAATGTGCAAATAGCCGTTTGAGAATGGCATACCGTAGGATGAATCTGCCGCGCAATAAGCGGATTGTGGAGGAAGTGAAAGGTAGAATAGGTTGACAGACAAGTGTTGGATGTGTGAGGTAAAGTGGGTGAAACAAGGCCTGATTGATTAATTGGTTGATTGATTGATCAGTGAAACATGCCTGTCCATTTAGCTAATCTGTTCATTTGATGTGGAAACCAGTGTGTTGGAACCACTGGAAACGGTCGATGCGTGCGAACTCATCCGACGCACGCATCGTGCTAGTGCACGTGTATCTTGCTCTGTTTCACTATCTGAACGCTTGATTGCGCTCCGCGAACTCACCATCCGTATGATCGGTTCCGTCGTTGGTACCGCAAGAGACTTGCGATCGGACCTCATTGCCGATCGATCAATTGACTGTGGTCGGCGCGTAGAAATGGCTGGTAATTCACTACTTTGTTTCTGTCCCGGGCGAATGGATGCCGGTGGAGTGGCTCGAATCCAGTCAATATTGTCAGGCTGAACTGCCGTTGACCGGTAACGATCTCCACGAGTTGGTAGGTCTCGTCCTCGTGTTATATTCACACTGTCAAAAGACATCTGTCTTCGACCCCATAGCGGCGAATTACTTTGTTTAGCAGTCAGTTCGCCCAGATCAGATTGCCTAGAAGCAAGGACTCGTGAGACGCGATGTGTTGTGATTGGTTTTCCGGAAACGGTTGGTATTGGTATTGGAATCGGAGCAGTGGACCGAGGAGGTGCACTATAAGTGGGTGGAGAACTATCCAGAGAGACAATACCTCGACTACGATCGGCAGATGAATGACGTCGATCCCGAACACGATGTTCACCAACTTGTGCCATCGAGAATCGACGAGTTTTGTCTCGTGCCGTTTGGGAATAGTCTGATCCAGCTGCAAGTATTGCTCGTTCACTGGGGGGTTCTGCATTTGTCACTGAAACACGGGAATAGATAATACGTCGAGCGGGTCGTTGAGTAACTGCGACGGTCATCCGTTCATTCCATGCAGATGATTCACTTTGTTTAGACTCATCTGAGGAGGAATTAATGAATCGTTCTGATTGCAACGGTTCGATTGTGACTGGTTGACGTCGGACAACTTCATGATTTGATTGTCTTGGTTTGGGCTTCGGTGGGATCGGTGGTGACAAGGCTTTTAAATCATTTATTGGTCGACTATCGGGCATACGTACCACATGCGAGTGAGCCCGCGGAGGAACAGGTGGCGGAATCATTCCCATCCCATATGAATCCTCATCATCTGGTATGGATATCTTATGTCGCGTTCGATAGGGTTCCCACATTGAGACGGTATTTGGCCCTGACTCGGGCTCGATAACCAAGGACGACGAGGGTTGGGGAAGTCCACTGCTCAACGATGGGGGAGCAATCTGATCGGGTAAGGTGTGCTCTGTGCGCCAGAGT